CATTCTTGGAAAGACAAGTTTCAAATGTACCTTCAATCCCATTCTTTTTGCTTGAATTTTGGCATGCTTGACATATTGTCTGTTTATATTTATTGCTTTATAGTTCAATGATTGCTACATTTGAACTCTTCAAACTTCAAAGGAATGCCATAATAGCATTGGACTACTTTGCTTAGTTATTACATTGGTATAGCTATAAATTGAATAAGTGAATGAAAAAAATAGGTAGAAATGTGGGGTTTTTTGGAGTGGGATATGTTTAGCATAGAGTGGGGAAATAGTTTATTGAGAAACTTTAATTGAGTTTTTTTTAGGGAGGGGTGGGTGCAAGTGAAACTAAAAATGAAATATCTCTGGGAAAAAAATAGATATAAATAGTCAGTCTTTTTCAGTGGCATATGAATAGAATAGAAAATGGAAAAGTATTTTTTAACTAATTCTTTGAAAAAAATTTTTTGAGGGTGCAAGAGGGTGCAAGTGAAATTAATAATGGAATAAGTGAATGAGGAAAATAGAAAAGAAAAGCAGGACTTTTTGCTGTGGACTTGCTCAGTGTGTGGAATGTGGTTTTTGGAGGGAAAAAATTTAGGTTGCAGGGTGCAAGGGTGCAGAAATGTAAGTGCTGTCATATCCATACAATCCTGACCTCCATCTGGGCCCAGAACTCTGAAACCAACTCCAGAGCCCCATTTCCCTTTTGTCACCCTTATCCCACCTCCAGCTCCAACACCACCTTTGGTCCAACTCCAGACCATTCCGGGTCCGACCTCAACCATGGCACCTTCCAGATGAGTACACAACATCTATGCTCCCAACTCCAGACCTCTGCTCCAGAATTCCAGTCTTAGCTCTGACCTCAGACTTCGACCCAACCTCTGCTTATGTCCATTGTATTGGTTAGCTAATTTATTCACCTTTGCCAATATTCTGGAGTTTCACTTCCAAGTTTGGACTTTCCAGACTTTTGTAGTTCTTACTGTATTGTCCCATTCAATTCTGCTATTGTCCCTCATTCCTATGTGGGCTGCTGCTTCTTTCTATTCAGTCAGCTAGCCATTGACTCCCATCCCCTTCATACCTCCTTTGGGAAACATCATTGAGTCAAACCCTTGACCCTTGGTGTTGTTCCCCCTTCTAGTTCCCTTACCCTTGTTCCTTTTGACTCTGGACCCCATCTATATATACAATGTACTTGGTAACTTTTGAAGGGGTTGGTAGGGTTAGAAAGGTGTGATTTTTGTGAATTTTTTTTAGGAAATGAAGAAATATAGGTGGCTGTCCAGGAAAACACAGCCACTGAGGTTGGAGAAATTAAAATTTCATACAGCAAGTTGGACAACTGGACAACTCAACTAGACAACCTAGCAGCAGGGCAAAATGGTATCTAGATAATGAAAACTGGTGGGGCAACTAAACAACTGGACAACATTAACCAATCTTGGCAACATGACAATGGATAACAGATAACTAGGGAACTAGATAACTGGAGAATGCAACAAGGCAACAGCATGGCAACTGTTGGGTTGGGGTTGGGTTGGGTTGGGTTGTTGAAAGACTAGTTGCATGTTTTAGAAATTGAGAAAAAAAAAAAGGGAGTGTTGCTGTATTTTCAATGGGGCATAGATAGGCTAAAGAGCCAATCTACACCCTGTGCCACTTTATATAGATTCACCCTACTCGCCCAACTTAACCCCTCAGCCTTTTCTCAGTTCTCCAGTTGCAGTTGTCTGGTTGGCAGGTTGCAACTTTGTACCAAATTTGTATGTCTCCAGGGAAGTGGCTGTGTCATTCCTGCACAGCCACTTATTTTCTTTTGCTAAAAAAAATTACAAAAATCACAGCTTTCTCACCCTATCAAGCATTTCAATTTTCATCCATCCCTTGAAAGTTATCACACTTTACATTTCTGCACCCTCTGCATGTTGCAGGTTGTGGTTTGCTGGTTGTCACCTTGTCAGGTTCTTTGTGCTTGGTTGTAGTTGCCAACTCCACTCCCAAGTTCTCAGGTTGCCTCATTGTCTACATCCTCTGTGGCTGTGTTTAGCCTGCAGAGCCACCAATCAGTTTTTTCTATTAAAAATTTCACAAAATTCACACCCTTTCAACACTATCAACCATTTCAATTTTCATCCATCCAGTCAAAAGTTATCACACTTTACATTTCTGCACCCTCTGCACTGTCCTCTGCACCTTCTGCACCCTAAGATTTTTTTCCTTCCAAAAAATTCACAATAAATGCTACCACATTTCACAAATTAATCATAGGCCAGGGCAGAAATTCCCACTTTTTTTTGTATTTTTTCCACAGAGATATTTCATTTTTAATTTCACTTGCACCCTGTTGCACCCTCAAAGATTGTTCTCCAAAAAGAAATATTTAAAAAATTCTATTCCATTCTCTCTGCTAAATATATCACTCTAAAACAGACCCCATATTTATATCTATTTTTTTCACTTAGATATTTCACTTTTAATTTCACTTGCACCCTCACTTGCACCCTCTGCACCCTCTTGTACCCTCAAAAAAAAACTTTGCCAAAAAATTCCAAATAAAATATCTCCTCATTCTATCTCCTCACCATATTCCACTCCAGAACACCCTGCATTTTTCCCTATTTTTGTCATCCACTTATCAAATTATCTATTATTTTTTTCCCCCAAATCCCATTTTTCCCATAGCTCCTTACCCAGAGCAGCTATTCACATGCTCTTTTTTCTATCTTGTCGATCTCGCCTACAGCTATCTGGAATGCCTATTGCCACCAATAATTCTCAAAACTGACCGAGAAAACATCAAGGCTTCATGTCAAGGGTGCAGGGTGCAGAAATGTCAGTGCCCAAATTTCAAATGATTGGTACCATTAGAAAGGTGTGATTTTTTTCTTTTTTTCAAGCCTGGAAAGTCCCAAGGGTGCAGCAGCAAAAGCCTTTTGTTCTTCTATAGATTTCCTTTTGCATTTTTGCTTCTTCCCTTGTCTAGTTGTCTGGTCGTGCATTGTTGTCTTGTTGTTTTGTTGTGCCCTTTTCTCAACTTCAGTTCTACTAACCTTTGCAGCTCTCCTTTCTCACCTTCCACTTTCTTCCTATCAAAAAATTTCCCATGTGGCTGTGCAAAAAGTGCACAGCCACATCTCTGTTTTTGCTTTTCAATATTTCACAAAAATCACACCTTCCTAACTCTATCAACCATTTCAATTTTCATCCATCCAGTCAAAAGTTATTCCACTTTTAATTCAACTTGCAGCCTCACTGCACCCTCCTGCACCCTCGAAATTTATTCTCCAAAAGAAAATATTAAAAATTTCCATTCCATTCTCCCTCCTAAATATATCACACTGAAAAAGACCCCATATTTATATCTATTTTCTTCACCTAGATATTTCACTTTTTATTTCCATTGCACCCTCACTTGCACCCTCTGCACCCTGTACAAAAGAATTCCCATAAGAATTACGAATAAAATATTTTCCCATTCTAGCTGCTCACCATATTCCACTCCAAAACACCCCGCATTTTTCCCTATTTCTTTCATCCACTTATCAATTTATTAATTATTTTTTTCCTTGAAATTTTATTTTCCCCATATCTCCTTACCCAGAGCAGCTATTCACATGCTCTTTTTTTCATCTTGTAGATCTCGCCTACAGCTATCTGGAATGCCTATTGCCGCCCATAATTCTCAAAACTGACTGAGAAAACATCGAGGCTTCAGGTCAAGGGTGCAGGGTGCAGAAATGTCCACGCTTATAACTTTTCAACGGCCGAACCAAATTTCAAATGATTGGTACCGTTAGAAAGGTGTGATTTTTCTCTTTTTTTCAAGCCCGGAAAATCCCGAGGGTGCAGCGGCAATAGCCTATTGCCCCCTCCTTCTATAGAGTGGATAAAAGCCCAAGGAGGTACTAAGGTAGAGATATGTTGATTCCTAACTGATGCAAATGACACGCACATTCACGTCATCCTCTAAAATCAAAGCAGGTCCACCAGCTCTAGAAGGCGGCTTTGATATCTTGTATGCCCCTCCATTCTCTTCACAAACTGCTCGGATGCGATAAACAGACCGCACGCTCACACCAACGAGAACAGCTATCTCGTCCGGACGGAGCTGCAGAGCAAGCATCCTTGCCACAATCTCACAACACTCATTCGTGAGTTTCCTGATGCCTGTAGAGACGGCGACCTCTTGACAGCGACGATACAAGAGACAGTGCAGAAGAAGGTAAAGGGGACGCTATGGTTGTTGAACACCACGTGGTTTGGATTGTGGCTATGCCCTTCCCAGAAGTCCTGACAAGCTGCCACATTTTGGCCACATTCGCTCAGAACTTGTTGCACTTTGTTCATGAAGCGCTTCTCAAGTCCCACTGTGCCTCACAACCTGGAAGTCTGAAAGTCGTCTTTCTGTTATTGGAATTCTCCCCATTGATGGAGAAACGTAATCGACTGAAACTCATTCACCCTCGGGTTGAGGTGTTCGTTATATTGACCTGTCTATCAATAACCATTTGACACCCTCTTGAATCAAGGTTACCACCTACCTCCTTCGATGTTTTGTCTCAAAAGCTTGCTTACTATACCAGACACTTCACTGGCGCTGCGAAGAACAACATAGGTGCCCCTATCCCTTCAGTATGTTCCTGACCCTAATTCAATGCATTACTATCCCCGAAGCCACTGATCCAAATGATGTGTCAGCGACTGTTGAGACATTCATGGCCGCCAATCCATCAATTGGACCGTTTGGGATGCCAGAAGATTGTCACTGAATCCTCACCTCGCTCAGCCAGAGGTCAGATCCACGTGCCCCATGGGGCCCCCAAGTTTTCGCGTGTCCTGGGCTCTTTGCGCATGGTGACAGCAGAAGGAGGTCCGAAGATCAAAATGGCCCCCCTGTAAAATACCACTTCCTGGATAGGCTCAGCGATGCATAATATGAAACTGCCATCTTGGAGCCTCAGGGGTCCTCGACACAGTTAATTCCCGATGTGATCATTGCAAAGATGGCTCCTGCTCGGTGTATCTTGGATACTTCCAAGGCAAAGAGTCAAAGAGCGTTCGTCAACGCCAGAGAAGTGGGAAACTTCGCCCCCGAACGAATCCCTGAGTCAGTAGCCCAACGCCCCAGTGCTTCCCTTCGCTCTCGTTGGGGATTGTCTGATGGAGGTTATGAGAGATTTTGGAGTGACCTCCGAAAACTAATTCCTGGGCTTAGGGTGACTGGTGTAGGTTTAGTCTCTTTTTCGTGTTATCATCATATATATTTATGAGTGCCTTTTAGTATCATCGTCGCGTTTTCATCCTTGACCTTCAAATCGAGCATGGTGATGGGTTAAAACTTGCAAATATGGGGAAATGACTACAGGCTTGAATTTGCCATGCCCGTCGAAGTTGTCGAGCGCTCACGATCGATTGCCCGACTTTGAAGCCCAAACAGTTGTGTTCAGCCACTCGTCGTCGTCGTTGGTGACTCCCCTCCTTGCATCACCATTGTTTACGTCGGAGTTCGTCGTTGTCGTTGTCGTTGTTGAAGTTGTCGAACGCTCACGATCAATTGCGCGACTCAAGGCTCAAACTCTGGCTTCAAGAGCTCACATTTGCACCTGCGCGGCCGAGAGATCAATATCCTTTTCATTTTCATTGCCAACATCCCCCCAGTTTCGTAACTTCCCATGCAGACTACACATCTGCATCCAATGGATCGTCTGGAGGTCGTCATCCCCTCCCCTGCCCATCGAGCATTGCACCGACAAGCGTGGGTTACCCAACACCGCGAATTCATTGCGCGAAATGAATCTGGCCTGTCGTATCTTTTCGTTTACTGCGACGGTTCTCAATCTGTTCGAAATGGGGTAATCAGGACAGGCTACAGTGTCGTGATATATCAGAATGGCCATGAAATCGTTGTGACAGGTGGTTCGATGGATGGGCCGGTGGGATCAGGCGACGCTGAGACGAGGGCCCTTTGCGCTGCAGCAAGGGAGGTGAGGTGTTTGTGCAAGGACAGGACGTTGACGCAAGGCCTCCAACACGTCTATATTTTCTCCGATCATGTTAGGTCTATCGAGACTGTTGTGGGTCAGGTTGGGCAGGCCCAATGTTCGCAGGAGTTTGGGATACATGTAGGGCGATTGTTGGGCAACAGGATTGGTATTGATGTCGTCGTCAAATGGTGCCCTGCTCATTCTGGTGTGGTTGGTAACGAGCGAGCAGACGAAATCGCGAAGATATGGGCTTTGTAAATAATAACCCTTGTTTTTTCCTCGTTGTTTTAACTCTTACTGTGTAAACAGCTTTATTCTATGACAGTCCTGTATAGTTAATTCTCGTGTCGCCACTGAGAGGCACGATAATGTAATATGCCAATGGCGGACTTATGATAATTCGGAATTGACACATCTACTTTTACATGGTTGACAGTGTTATTAAACTTGCTTAGGCCCCCTAAGAGGCCCCTGTGGTCCCCAGGTCCCCCATCACAATTGTTTCCAGTTGGTTGAGGGCCCAAGGGGCCCGTTCACTTTGGCGAATCGCAAACAATGGCAGTTCAACTATTCAGCCATTGCAAGGATTCAGCTGCACGCAACCCCCCAATTCCTGAAATACGTTCACTCTAGCATCGTTCTATGTTGTTTGTATGATTTAGGAATGCGTAATTACAAAGATATAACAACGTCTATGGATCGTCCATGCTAAAATTGATGATCCACAAACCTTTGAGTTACAGTTACGCATCAACTTTGGTATCGTTAGGATTCCCTACTTCGGCGCTTCAGAGTGCAAGTGGAATCATAAAATTTCTTCATCGAGTTTTCACGGAGTTACAGGCCAAAAGTTATTGCACGATTTTCGAATTGCCGGGTTTGCCAGGAATTTTGAAAACGGCAATAGCCATTGAGGGGTGAAAACCATTCGGGGGTGAAAAACTGTAGGTTGTTTTAAATACACGTCATGCTGAAAGAAACGCACCAGGCCTTCTGGGAGCGAATCAAAGAATGTTTTTTATCTCCGACTCTATTAAGGTGGGCGAAATACAGGAAATGGGCAAGACACAAATAATATGTATGCTTGAGTCCATAAGCTCCATACAAGCCTGCCGGTGTTACGGCTTAACCGTAACAGTAGAACCCTTTACCCCAGCCCAAGCCACACATGTGTAAATACAGTTGTTTTACATTGTGTACAACAAGGAATAAAGAAGAATAATGCACACTCCATGCGCGATATCTAACTATGACTCTGGCTCAGATCATAACGGGTCATGAGCCAAGACTCCACCTGGTGAATTCTGAGTAAATAGAAAAACAAACAATTGGCCCTGTTGAACCAGTACCTCACGGTTCTGGTTGGGCAATATTACTAAGTTTAACAGAGGGAAATAATTTACAGTGGGACATATGCGGAGGGGATCAGCTCGTCATCCTCATCACTGTCTGGAGGTAAGGCCTGAAGCCTACGTATTGTGGGCCGGAGTGAGGAGGAACCAGTGGGTGCTGATGAATACCTAGTTTGGAGTGAGGAAGATGAGTTACTAGGTTGTGATGAATGTAAGGCCGGTCTTCCCGATGCTAGAGGAGTTGGCGAATCTGGAGAAATGAAGGGGCCAGGGGAATTTGGGTGAGATGACACAGGGGATAGATGACCAGTGACTGAGGATGCAGTCCCATCAGGATATTCGGAAGCTGCTCTATTCGGCGTGAATGTGTGGGAATCCTCTGCATTGCCAAACAGATCCAGTGCCTCATTGTCCATAGATGTAGTATCTAAATCCCTCTGCCTTGAAGTAGGTGAAGGAGCCTCCACACCAACACTGGGGAGAGAAGGTTCATTGAGCGAACTCGTTGCTGTTTCTGTCGGGCCTCCTTTTTTCTTCTGCTTCTTCCTTTGGCCGGCAGCGGTGCTGTCTGCCTGTTTTCGCTTGGATGGAAGTTTGGGTTTGGCCTGTGTAGCAGGAGGTTTCTCCAGCTCATTGTCTGTCTCATCATCACCACTTTCTTCACTGCCACTCCCCAAAAACGCTGTTTCAAACGTAATTAATGTAGAATAATTGGTTGATTTGGACCAGCACATGCCTTTTGCTTTCGAAAGGAAGGCTTCACTTTGCCTTGCCTTCCCCTGAGCAAACTGATACAATAAAGTATCGGTCGTGCCGTCTGCAAGGAGCCACACTACTGTCACCTCTTTGGTTTGTCCCTTGCGCTGAACACGTCCTATGACCTGGCGCTCATCTTGAGAACTCCAAAGTTGATCCTATCAGTCACAATCAGAATTGAACATCATAAAGTGGGAGAAGAAGCATACAGCAAAAATCACCACATTGGCAGCTGTGATGTTTAGTCCTGTTGTCCCCACACCACTGATGATCAACACATCACAAGGACTTCCATGACGATCCTTTTTCAAACTGAAAGCCATAAGAGTTTTGTTTCGGACATGAACGCTGTCGTTGGAGGTGGCAGATTCAGAGTTCACATTGTTGACCCTTAATGCTGAGCGGATCAAGTCGACTTGTCGTAGCCAGTTGCAATACACCAAAACTGATGAGCCATTCGAGGTATTCAATGAAGAAGGCTCATTGCACAATGTCCCCTTTGCATCCACGACTGGGTCCACAGCATTCCCATACTGGACAAAGAATGAAATCAACTTTATGAGAGTCTTGAGTTTCGTCCCACTCTTCTCATTGAAGTCTTCTTGAGAGTCAAAGGATCGGCAGTTCTTTTCCAGTCCTGGAGACAGGTTCTCCTGCCGTGGTCCTGAATAGAAAGCCTAGGAACATGAGGTTAGGCAGGATGGAGCTGACCAAGTTATTGACTCACCCAAGGGTCGAAAACTGTGCCGTCCCGTCTAGGCAGAGTGTTAACACCATGTATGTACTCATTGAAAAAGAGGTGACTGACCTTCCCTCCTCTTTGCAATCCTTGTGTGCTGCCTCAAGCAATTCCATCTCAGTATCAGATAATTTGATGGTCACCACCAAGCACTTGTGAGCACACAGGCCAATTATTGGTTTCCCCTCAAAGTCCTTAGAATCCCCAGTTCGTCTAATGGTGCGGCCTTTGAAGAAACTCCTCAACCAGGAAATCGGCTCCAGCTGTGAATTGATCAAATTCTTGAGCTCCTCGCTCGCACTCTCCTCAGAGCCTTGTTCACCATCGATCAATGTGGCACGGTGGGCAGTGCGGGCCTTTTCTATGCCGCTGGAAAATGTCTTGTGCTTCTCCATAGCTGCTGGCGAACATAGGCCCTTGAAATTGAGGATATGGCCCATGGACAGAAGATCCCTATGGCCAGTGAACAATGGGGTGGCTGTGAGTGCGACCAACATTGTGCAGGACCTGGCAATCGTTATGAGGGGGGTGATGTTGTTCCGATAGAGATGGGCTTCATCCACCCATACGCTTAGAAACTCGACATTCTGAATGAGGTTGGGACATGTAGGCCTGGGAGTGGGTGGCATGGGTTTCCAGGGAGTATGCACAGACTGACGACCCTTCAGGCCCTTATCCTGACCAGTGAAGATGCGTTGGTCCTGGCTAATCGCCTAAAGTGGGGAAGATTAAGTATCTTGCATCCAGTACAACATAGTCAATTACCTCTCTTGAAGCCAGAATGACGATGCGGTGTAGTTCCCCTGACTTTTTGAACAATGAGCTCTCATACGGCCCATTGGGTTCCCAAAACTCCTTCCTTGGTCGTTTTCCCTCAGCGTATACCAATACATCTGCACTTCCTGCCCTTAACCAGCATGCAAGAGAGTTCTTCCACTGAGGGATCAATGTGTTGGGGACTATGATGAGGTGAGGCAAGGCTGGCACCTCCTTATGACCAGAAAGATATGGCCTACTACCTGTGCTGAGTGATTAGTAGATGAACAGCCTCTCAATGGAAGGCCAAACCAAGAATTGGAGGGTCTGCCTTTTTTGCTCTTCTCCCATCGACAAGCCCCATGAGGAAGGCAATTGTCAGAATGACCTCTAATGTCTTGCCCAACCCAACCTCATCGATAACGGCCATGCCCTCTAGGCTGGATGGCTCTGGGTCAGCAGATTCCATCGTGAAAAACCCATGAATAATGGCCACTACAGCAACCAGCTGGTGCCACATGGCCTCCTGGGCATAGAATCCCTCTGGGAGTGCCCCTCCTTGCCTAGAAGCAGCACAGGCTTGTTCCCACTGCCCCTTCGCTCCTTCTCCCCGCTCCAACATAGACCCCAGAGATTCTATGTAAGGCCCATCTGAATTTCCCCAACCTAGAGACAGGTATGAGTCAAGGTCCGTATAAGCCAAATGAGGCAGACATACCAAGGCTCTGGCGAAGCCATTCTTTGGACTTGTCCTTCCAAGCCTCTACACCAATATCACCCGTTCCCAGTGGGTTCTCTCCCCATTCCCCCATATCTTCCTGGACCTCTGGAATCTCGAACCGCTCAGTTAACTCTGACATATGCTCAAGACGCTCAAGCCATTCATGAACTTCTAATTTCATGGACTGTATTGCTTCTTGAGTGTTCAATGACTCCATATTGCTGACTGTCAGCTTTGAAAACCCTGGAAACATTCATGTTCAGTGAAGTAAGACACAGTGTTAGGTTGACATACCGTTCGAGGCCAAATTTCCTGCCACCTTGTCCATGGGCAGGGGGAGCGTGGATTCCAGACTTTTTAGCCGCACCTCTACTGACTCCCGATGAGCAAGAACAACAGTATCCTCTTGGAATTGCTCTGATATGGCTGCGTATCTGAGGTAAGCCTTGCTTAGACCACCCATAGCTTCAGGAGTAAGCGTGCCCTGGAGGCCTTTAGAGGGATTAGGCAATATTTATAATGAGGCCCAGAGAAGACACACCATTCAGAAGAGGGTCCAGCCCATCCTTGGCAGCATTAAATGCTTGCACCTTATTTTTAAGCTTCTTCCGGCAATGATTGTACCAGAATAAGTTGGAGACCGGAAGGCTGATTCCTGACTGGTACTCGGTGTGGATATCCACTCGAGCACCTGGTCTGAAAGCCGCATCCCCCAGCAAAACCTCAGCCGCAATTTGGCTGACCTCAGACTCTAGCGATGGTAATAGTCGAAGATCCGAGCTTAGAAGACCTGGGTCTCTCATCAATTCTGTGAAAGGATAGCACTTGGCTATCTTTGTTTCATTGATGAGTTGTTTCAGGATCCGATTCTCCTTATACCACTTGATGCGGATAAGACTGCCAAAAGCGCTGCGACCCTGGGAGTAGCCATCATTTGTCCGTTGTTTGGCAAAGGCTTTGATGGCTGTCAATGTTGCTGGCTCTTCCTGAGCTGCCTTGCCCTTGCCCTTCTTGCGCCCCTGAGTGCCACACTTGCAAAGTGCTGCTACAAATGACTGCAGACTTTGCCACATTTTCAAGTTCCCTTCTGGATCCTCACAAAGGAGTAGTGGTGGATTTTGTAGTGCCCAGAAATCAAAGTCCCAATCAACATCCCCTTTCCAGGCCTCTGCATCCTTGTACCCAATGGCAACTAAGAATTTCTTTACGGTGAAAGGGGACTTCCCAATAGCCCCTTTTGGGCTATCGTGCCACAACCTAAGGATGACATCAACCACTGTGGCTCCTGGCATTTCTGGTGGGTTTGAGTGAAGAGAATGGAGAAACTTGGTGGTTGAAGAGTTGTGGTGAGTTTTGGCCCTGAACAGAAAACAAAATTATTTTAAACATGTGATGCCAAGCCACATGTATTTGCCGATTCTGGCATAAACTTGTACATAAGTATATAAAGTAGCGTGGAGGGTACTAGTAGGCTCTTTAGCCTTTGGCACCACAACGGTCTGGGAACTAGGCTCTACACACGCTACACGCTCTGGGCAGACACTACCATTGAATACTCCTTACACAGTTGCATGTGCCCCTTCTGGATCAGTCCTGTGAAATTAAACTGCAATTTAATTGTTGTTTAATGTCTCCATTTCACGAGACCTCCCTGAACTTGCTACTGCCAACACCTTTCCGCGGTGTGACTTCACTCCCGTTTGCCTCAGCATTCGGCCTTTTCTTGTCTCCCACCTCCTCCCCGACACTCCTCCTTTTGGTACACTATCCCCTCTTTTTCTTGTACATCGTTTTACATTGTGTTTGTACATTAGCTCTGTGTTGTATTTTGTTTTTTATGTTTCACTACTTCCGACTTGGCTCTTATCGTCACTCCCATTAACCTTCGTCTGTTTTCTTTTTCGTCTTTGTATGTACGAGCATGGGTTGCGGGTCGCGCGCATGCGGGTAATTTCACCTGGGCCCTTTGTGGCCGTTGCCAACACTTGTTAGCCCTGATTAGACATCGAATTTTGGTGCCTAATCAGGGCACGGTCCAAGCGGGAAGCCCAAATGAAATTGGTGGCAGTGAGTGATGCCAGCCTGTCAACATAAAGTACAGGGCACAGGAAACATGACCAAAGAGGCAGGCAGGAGTTGAATTTATATCTCTTCACTCCCACTAGTAATATATCCCAGGTCCTCATCAATCCCTTCTGCTTCACCTGTTGAACTCAACCCTCAGTTTGGTCTTGGAAACTGTGGAAGGCTTACCTTCGGAATCAGAAGGAAGCACTCTCAGTGGATGAACCCTGTGAAAGATGAGCATGGAGATGTGAATAAATAGCCAAATAAATTTACCGTGGGCAACTTATCGTGGCCATCAACCTCTGGTTAAGATCCCTGCCACATCATAAAGTCAGTCATTTCTATAGGTATTTATTACCCGGAACTCACATAGGATGGTTTCGTTGCGGACTGCCTTGTTCAGGCTCATCCTCAGGACTGTGGTTTCAGATGAGCAAGGCTAATGCATGGTACTTTGGCTACTGCCCAACTTACATTGACGATCCATCGGAATCATCACCACTATTGTCATTATTTGATCCTTTAAAAAGCCCAGCAATAGATGCGAAAACTTACCTTGGTGAGAAATACTCATCGCTGTTATCCCCACCATCACTCTCGTTGTTATCATCTTCACCTAAAGGACCATAAAGACTTGGGCCAGAGCGACCCTCTCCCCCATATAATGCGTGCTTTCCTTTAGAAGAGCCTGCCTGACCATGGTTTAGCTTTCTCTGCTTATTGGGGGGAGAAAGCCGACGAGACTGTGGTTGCTTTTCTTTTTGGTATTTCCTCTTTAATACCATTTCCTCTGCAGTGACGATTGGGGCTGTCTCCTCTCCCATTAGCATCACCAGCTTGTCAACCCTAGGATTTAGTTGGTCAAAATGCTTCTTGAAATGATTGTGCCATGACGAAGGAGGATGTTCCGCTGTCCAATCAAGCTCTTTTGGCTATGGGGGGGTTCAGGTTATTGGTCACAGAATAGAATGCAGCACGCACATCAGAACACATGCGTCGAAAAAGAGATGGTGCAGTCCTGCTAGTCCAGGCATTCCCTTTGGCATGGCAGGGTACATGCACAGCAATCCATGCCAGCATGTGCTCGATCTGCTGGGGAACAAAGGGTCTGCTCCTACACACAAGACCTGTCAGAACCTCAGGAGGAGATCATGTTTATGCCGAACTTGCACTCCTGTAGTCATTTGCATTGTATTTGGTTATTTGGTTAGGTTGCAGTGAGGCTAATTGGGTTGTGGTGAGGCTATTTGGGTTGCAGCAGCAAGGGTGGGAAAAAACTGTGAAAAGAATGTAATGTGACACACAATTGTGTCACATTCTGTGATCACTTGCCTCTCAGGATAATAGATCTTTGTTTAATATTTTTTCACGTGTCTAATCGTGTCCCACTCTGGAGATGGCCCCGTGTCCTGTGCTGTTGCGGCACCGAGGGGGCAAGAGGGACGAAAACCTATCCGGGTCCTAACTTAATCCTGGGTTCCAGATTCTGGGCAGGATTTAAGTCGCTCCAATGGATGGGACCTCGCGCTACCCCATCCTCCGGACCTGTCCTTGCACTCGTTCTTTGGTTTGGCCAACTGGTAAGTTGCCCTGTAACTTACGCATGCTGAGTAGGCAGCACTGTACTAGTCTCTGCAGCTGCGAAATTACATTGCATCCTCAACCGATCCATCACGCACTATCTTGTGGGTCTTTCGCTGTTGCGAACCATTCACTTCTTCACTAAGGCGCTTGGCCTTGTTTGTTCCTTAGCTCTCATTCTTAGTTCTGCCTTGGTCTTTTCACGCATCCCACCCCCGTCCCCATCGCCTCCTGCTGTACCATTGATTGCCCTTGTATCTGTTTTTCTTTTGTTTGCATTTAGCACTTGGCGATAAGTGTTTGCGCTGGATTGGTTCAACATCGTTTGTAGCTTGTAACTACGGGCCGCCGTGTCTGTCCTGTGCAATCGCATTCACTGCTGGCCCACTGCGGGCCAGGTCCACTACACCGCTGATCCAGACCGATTAGATAAGTTCCATCTCGTCCTCTGTCCGAATGAAGCCCAAACCATATTCAGGTGAGTCGCTACTTTTCGTCGTATAGAGGGCACTCCATAAGGATGTGCTCTCGTGTCTCGATTGGTGTTCCCCATCAGCAGCTAGCATCTTTGGTAGTTGAGAGTATTGCCCTGTCCGGTTCGTAATTGGGTTCGTAATTGAACCAGGCGCAGAAGATCGGGGAAGGAGGAGGGTTACGCAAAAACGAGGACAACGAGGGGAAAAACAGAGGTTACAGAGAACAAGGAAACAACCGAAAAAAGGAAACCTAGAAAAACCTGAGTAAGCAATCGGGATCCCACCCACCGAGAGTAACCGAAGGTCACAACACCTCCCCCTCGGCGAGACCGAAAGGCTTACCGGAAGCAAGGAAGTCCAAGGAAAGACTTCGTCAAAAACAGCATACAGGCCAAAAGAACAAGATTAAGAAAGATAACGCCTTCAGCAGAGGATAAGGAATAAGAGGGCGGCGCCAGAGCCCTGAAGCATAAGCGGACGAAACACACGTACGAGATCTTCCGGAGAAATCGACCCCGGAATGCAGCGGCAATTAACCTGAATCGGCATGACTGTAACCTCGGAAGGCACAGTATGCGTAAGGCCGACAGCGGGTACGGCGCATAAGATAAAGCACCACCGGGAAATATGCCACGCGCGAAAAGAGAAACAAAGAGTGCATTTAGTCCGATTGCACACAAGCCTAATTTAATCTCGTACCTCCATTAAATAACAAACATTTGCAGTGTGCTCAAAAAAAGATCTTGTTCTGGGGGAGTGAGCTGGAGTGCTACCCTCTGTTTTCTGGTCCCATAGCCGATTCCCGCTTGCAACGCCACTTGGTTGATGGGTAGATCTGTCCAGTTATATGCATATTCTGCAATACTACTTTCGGGATACTGTAATTCCGCGTCCTGTAAATCTTCTGAATCCGTATCTACGGTGGCTATCTGGGTTATCTTAACTTCCTCTGTCTTTGTCTTCACGTGCTTACTATCAGATTGTTGGCGGGACTCTTCCAGAATTCCCCCCGTCCTTTCCAATAATTCCCTGTCCGCTGTTTGTCGCTGGTTGAGGTTGTTCCTCACCCTTTCAATCAGGTATTCAAGCTCAGAGTCCGACCCATGGCTATCAGCACTAGTAGACATTTCATCTGTTTCCGGGATTGCCACCTTTCCCAAAGTTGTGATTGCTTCTGCTGCTACAACGTGATTCGGAATCCAACCTTCCATCTGACCTCACTTGACTAGAGAGACTGGCGATTTGGCGGTCTGGACAGTAGACATATTCAGATATAAGCTAGTTCAGATTATTCTGAGGGGGCAGGACTCTAGCTAAGCTGTCTTTGTCCTCCTCTGATTTATATATATATTTGCTTCTGTATACTCCATCCTCCATCGGTGAGCTTTCCCTTCGTGGATCGTGTCTTATCCCTCAATCTTTCCAATGACCGTGAGGCAGTCCATCGGCAGCCTCGTTTCTCCGTTCCACTTCCCTGTTCCTCTCTGCTTGACCTTTCTGATATCTGCTCTGCTTTGGTCTTCAATATCATTGCTCAACGTTGTGGGAGGGATGAGCCGGTAGTACCAAAACACCACCATATAATGGTCTACAGATGCTACCTGGGACCCAACACACAATCCCCCAGCCCCCCAAAGCCCGTTGCACTTCCCCCATCATCTCTGTATTTTTTGATATTTTTCTGGACCAGGTTACAGCCATATCAGGCCGCTTCTATAGTATTTTCACCATATCTCCCCCAGTTCTTCTCCGATCCAGACGCATTTTATATCGTTAGAAAGCTACCGTCAAGACGAGTCTAACAAGTCCAGCATCGAGAGATTTGGTGCAGCCGTTGTGGAGATCGTCGAATTCTATCGATTGTGTGGCCGCGCCCATATATTTATCATGTTTTCTGTTGTTTTCTTTGTTCTATGTTGTTCTGTCCATTTCTGTCCGTCTCTAACACCGTCAGATTGCTTGGACATTAGCTTTGGTTATATACAAGCATGTATCTAGTATGAAAAGAGATCTTCTCCTCCTTCCCGCTTTAGTGCCAGTCCGACAGTACCGCGTCTGGGAGCGTGTGAACGAGTTCAGTTAGGTTTAGGGCGACGTTGAGAAGGCAGGACACCTTGTTCGGCCCTAGGGAAGGTCCACCAGGGAGTCTAGTTGGTTTTTGATGGAAGTTTAGTTTTTCGGACCTAGTAGGAAGGTCCGCCAGTGAGTCTGTCAACGCTGCGGTTTCGCTCCTCCCCCTTCGTTACCTGTGTGTGTGTGTGAGGGTGGTCTGGTTAGGTTCAGAGGTCCCCTGCAGCCTTCAGCCATTCTCCCCACTTGCAACGTCTCAATTCTCCTGGCTGTTCCCTTGAACCAAATCCTCTTTTGGCGTTTCCCTTTGGGCACGCACTCCGATCTTAGATCGCTGCCGTCTCTGGGGTTCTCCGATTTTCCCATGACTCCTCTCCCTGCCGACTTCCTGGCTTGTCTCACTGGCAAGTCATCTTCAGGTTTTCAATTTATTTGGGATCTTGCGCCCTCATTGATCGATTCTTTGTGTCTTACTCATGCTACGATCTACCCCCCACACATCGTGGACCGAATCCCTCGATTGCTACTCAATTGTTTCTGGGCCGATGAGACACTCCTTGTCTCTACCTTATCCTTGGTTTTGTTTACTTTAACGCTAGAGTACATTGGGATCTGCGCACAGAGTCCAGGAATTTATCGATCGGCTGTGTACATAGTCTCGGCTATCAGCGATTGCCATTCTGGGACAGCCAATTTCGGATCCGTACCTTTTCCTGCCCCCGGAAAGGCAATAAAGGGGATGTTACTCCTCTTCCTCCTTCCGTTGAGTTAGTAGGGGTGAGAAAGGTTGCAGGATGCATAGAATTGCCTGCCCGTTGGCTTCCTCCCTTGGTTCTTGGGTAGATACCAGTCCCCCAGCGATTCCTGAGAGCTTGATCTCTCTCGATCCTCCATATTCCTATGAACCACCTCTGGTTCTTCTCCGTCAGATGTTAATGGGCTCTCTGGTTGCCTTTCTTTGTCCTCATTGGGTGTAAATCCATAGCGCCAGCCTGCTAAAGCTAGGATCAGGCCCAGGATTACTGCGATCGCCGTGTATAGAGTAGTCTTCATGCTTGTAGTTTAGTCTCGTTCAGTGTGAGGGGTCTTTCTGGTGTTGTGGAATTATTCTAGGTTATTTTATACCTTTCTTCCGAGTCAATATACAATATTTATTATTACACCCATATATTTCTTGTGCGTATCTGGCATGCTTCCCTCCAGTCCTGTCCATTGGCTTATGTAGTCGTCTACGTGGATCATAGCAAGTCCTTCGGATAGACCATGCACTGCCATAACCTCGCGCACTACATACCGATACGTAAAAGCCGGGCATTCGACTACTGGCGGTCTGCCGGTCACTTGTTGTACCTGTTGAGGTGTGGGTGGGTCATTGATGATCAATTCAGCAGCTTCCTCAAGGGCGAACTCTTCTCCCTGTCTGTTCTCCCGCTGATTAGATCGCCAGTTCTTCCAGCCTCTCCTTGCCCGTGTGCAACAGCCGACCGCACGCTTCCAGACTCTCGAAGCCCATCCCTTCTTCATTTTATTTTTCCTTTTATAACTTGTTAGCTTTTATAGTTATACTATGCTTTTCCCCTGATTATTTACCGCGCGCGCTTTGACTTTTTGTTCCACCGCCGCAGGCGCTCTGTATTGTATGTGCCTTGGTTGATCCCTGAATCCATTAATTAACTGAAGAAACTTTGCTGGAGAAGCTTTCCTTTCTTTCCAAGACGTGAAACCAGTGCTAATGTAACTAGTCCTTCATCCGATTCTCTGTTTTCCTTTTGTTCCACTTGTCTTGCTAATTCTAAACTTAATGGCCTTATTAAGGCTCCCGCGCCCAATGCTGCTTCCTTCAATATATCCATTGAGTCTTGTGCTTTGTCCGTCCATTGGAAGTCCTCATCAGCTCCCTTCCTTGTGTACATAGTCAACGGCTTAGCTATTTTAGCAAAATCTTGGATCCAT